TACAGGGATAAGCCGAAAGACAAAGAAGAAGAGTTTGATAATATCAATAATGATAATGGAAGTAATAGTGATGATGATGATGATGAGATGATGATGATGATGATGATGATGATGATGATAATAATAATAATAATAATAATAACAACTGTAATGATAATATTAGTGATAATAATAACAATGATGATAATAATAACAATGATGATAGTAATAACAATGAGGATAATAATAACAATGATGATAATAATAATAATGATAATAGCAGTGACATTAATAGTAATAATGATAATAATAATAATGATAATAGCAGTGACATTAATAGTAATAATGATAATAATAATAATAATAATAATAATAATAGTAATAATGATATTAACGATCATAATAACAGTATCAGTGATGACAAAAAAATAAGAGTAATAACAATAATAATAATAATAATAATGATAAAAAAAAGATAACAACAGTAGTGATGATAATAACGATAATGATAATGATAATAACAATAATGATAGTAACTATAATAATAATGATGATAATAGCGATAATAATAACATGATGATAATGATAATAATTTGGATGATGGTAATAATAATTATTATTATTGTTATTATTATCATCATAATTATAACTAGAAAAGCACTCAGAGAGTGCAGACCTCCGCCAAGGTGCGTATATAATGAACTTACACCGCTGCTGCGTCCAGACGGTAATTCGGAATGTCAGTGAAATGTGGTACACGTTTACCGTAGATTTGTGTACTTTATTGATTAATTAATGATAATAATAATAATAACCAGACGGTAATTCGGAATGTCACCAAAATTTAATCAGTTCTTAGTTAGTCCCTTTCTGACTTGCCAACACTTTTTGAGCTAGGCTGCTAACAAACAAACTAACCAACAAACCAACGCCGTCAAAAACATAACCTCCTTGGCGGAGGTAATAATGATGATAATGATAATAATGCTATTGATAATAATAATAATGATAATGATAATAATGATATTATTGATAATGATAATAATAATGATAATAATAATAATGATAATAATAATAATAATAACAATAATGATAATAATAATAATAATAATAATAATAATAAAAATAATAATAATAATAATAACATTATTAACAATGATGATAATGGTAATGATAATAATAATAATGGTAATAATGATAATAATAAATATTATAATATCTATGATAATAAAAATAATGATAATGATAATGATGAAAATCATAATGATAGTAATAAAAATTATTATTACCATCATCATCATGATTATTATCATTATTCTTATTCTTATAATTGTTATTGTTATAATAATAATAAATATTATTGTTATTCTAATAAAGATAGTTATAATAAGAACAAAAACAATAACGATAATAACAATAATAATAATAATAATAATAATAATAATAATAATAATAATAAGAACAATAATAATAATATTATCATTATTGTTAATATTGTTATCATCATTTCTATCATAATTGCGATCATTTTATTACTGTTAATATCATTACTATTATCATTGTTATACTTATCATCATTATTATCAATAATAATAATATCATTATTATTGTTGTTATTATTATCATTGCTATTATTATTATCATTGTAATAATTATAGTAATAGTAATAATGATAACAATTTTGATAATGATAATAATAATAATGATAATAATAATAATAATAATAATAATAACAATAATAATGATAACAATAATGATGATAATGAAGATGCTAATGAACAATGATAACAATTATATATTGATGATAGTGATAATAATAATAATAATAACAACAACAATAACAACAATAAGGATAATAATGATAATGACACTAATAACATTGATAATAATATTAATAACAATAATGATAATAATAATAATAATAAAATAATAATAAAATACTAATAATAATAACATTATTAACAATGATGATAATGGTAATGATAATAATAATAATGGTAATAATGATAATAATAAATATTATATATCTATGATAATAAAAATAATGATAATGATAATGATGAAAATCATAATGATAGTATAAAAATTATTATTACCATCATCATCATGATTATTATCATTATTCTTATTCTTATAATTGTTATTGTTATAGTAATAATAAATATTATTGTTATTCTAATAAAGATAGTTATAATAAGAACAAAAACAATAACGATAATAACAATAATAATAATAATAATAATAATAAGAAGAAGAAGAAGAAGAACAATAATAATAACATTATCATTATTGTTAATATTGTTATCATCATTTCTATCATAATTGCGATCATTTTATTACTGTTAATATCATTACTATTATCATTGTTATACTTATCATCATTATTATCAATAATAATAATATCATTATTATTGTTGTTATTATTATTATTGCTATTATTATTATCATTGTAATAATTATAGTAATAGTAATAATGATAACAATTTTGATAATGATAATAATAATAATGATAATAATAATA